ATTTGGTGAACGCGCACCGGGTGAGAATAGCCACAAGAATCGCCTGCACTATTCTCACTCCGGGTGAGAATAGAGGTGGCCTTTTAGAGAGGTGAGAAACCTCACTGCTTAATTTAGTTCAGCTGCAGTTATGAGTGTCTTTTCATTGTGGTGTCACTTTCAGATCTCAATCTCTAGTCTCTAACCCCCATCTAGATTCTAGATCTAGATCTAGATCTAGATTCTACTTATTTCTAGATCTAGATCTAGATCTAGCTTCTACTTCTTAGTAGAATGTCTAGATCTAGAGATCTAGATCTAGATCTAGATCTAGTCACTTGTCTTGCCACTAAGACCTGCTTCACTTAATCAGTTGAATTTGTATTTCTATGAAGTGTTATTATGGGGGATCCGTTATTACTAAAGTCTAAAGTTTACCATGATTTTAAGTCATAAGACTCGTAGGCAATACAAAAACAAAACCAATCGACAAGGCCAACAATAACAAGGCACTTTCGTCTTTCATGCTCCATTTTGACTGCAGTGGAGAGAAAATCCACAAACGCCAAGCACTTTTGGAACTTCCGTCTTTAGACTTTATCGAGAAGATAAAGATGAGCAGTGGAACAAAAAGCCAAGAGACTGCGGTATGATTGTGATGGGTAGGCTCTATGGCATTACAATAGATTCTAATCTACTAGACTTATTCTATATCTAGACTACAAACTAATGAATTCAACTGGCTCGAGTCTCGAGTCGAGAGAAGAGAAATAACTTCACTGGACACTGGGTGGAAAGACAAGACGACGATTGATTTTCCCATTACAGTTAGCGTTCCCATCAAAGACAGTAAAAATAAACTTAATTTAAAAAGAAGCAACGATACATACATGGAGCTTGATAGAAGCTAGCCAACAAAGAGCACTTCAGCTTCGCCACAGGCTCTCACCAGTGTATAAATCTCAACTAAGAATCTGTGTGGTTTAGATCTAGGCCTTGTCCATATTTGAGGCAGACTTTCTCTCCTTACCGGAAGTTGAATTTGGGTCAGCTGTGCGGGTTGCCAAAATGTAACTTGGTTTGCTGTTTATGTCGATTGTGCCGAAAAATAACAAACATTTTGCAAGCCTGCAAGAAGCCCCCAGAAACAGCGAGTAACTTCCACATTATGCTGCATATCATTTTCCAAAATAAAATAGAACTCAACAATTTTTTTTCAAAAAAAGTCGTAACACAGTCCAAACTTCAATCTGCCAGGAACGTAATACTTGAAAAGGCAAAGGGTGAAACATAATTTTGTAATGAGTTATTTGTCGCATTGTTACACAACTATTGAAAAGATAATAGCTGTAAAACATTCAATCTTTGTAAAGAAGATCCATTAATAACTCAAACTGGGTACTTTTCATTGTTACTACACTCGTGAAATCATTAGAATATTAAATGTAGCTCTTTTTTTTTCAAGGACTGGAAATGCGCTCAATGCACATTTTCCCGCCATATTAATCGTGAAAATCAGTGACTTGATTATTGAATAAAGACAATTAATTTGTGTGTGTGTGAGTGTGTGTGTGTGTGTGTGTGTGTGTGTGTGTGTGTGTGT